CTCAAAGACTGGCCGTCGTATGGTCGAGTAGGCCAAAACGAAACAACTTACTTGTAAAAGAAATACATCTTAAATATTAGAGTTCTACTAAAGACATGTAAATGATACTGCAGACATGTGGCAGAAGGGTTTGTGGTCAGACGAGATACAAATTGAGCGTTTTGGTCTAAGTTCAAAGCGTTAAGTCTGGTACAATCCCAACACAGTACACAACCCAGTCTACACAATTCCAACTGTCAAGCATGATGGTGGCAGCATCACGTTATGGGGATGCTTCTCATCAGCAGGGACTGAGAAGCTTGTCAGGATTGAGGGTAAGATGAATGGTGCAAAGTATAGGCGAATCATAGAGGAAAACCTGCTTGAGTCAGCCAAGAATCTAAAACTGGTTCGAAAATTCACATTTCAGCAGTACAATGACGCGAAGCACAAGACCAAAGCCATACTGGGGTGGTTTCAAAAGAAGAAAGTGAATGTCCTGGAGTGGCCCAGTCAAAGTCATGACTTGAATCCAATAGAAAATTCATGGCGAGACTTGAAGATTGCACTCCATCAACGATCCCCAACGAACTTGTCAGAATTGGAGCAATTTTATTAAAAAAAGAAAAAGGAAACAAAACTTAAACCATCCCATTGTGCAAAAATGGTAGAGACTTATCAAAAAATAATCACAGCAGTAATTGCTGCCAAAGGTTCTTCCACCAAGTACTGACTTAGGGGGCGGAATACTTATGCAATCATCAAATTTTTATTTATATATTTTCTTTGCAGGCTTTGCTGACATTCAACCTCCTTCACAAATGCCCTCCAGTGGCACAGCGGTATGTCTGCGGGCTTATAAGTTAGAAACCGGGTTTCGATACCCGTGGTGGGCAGAGCACAGATAGCCCATTGTGTAGCTTTGTGCTTAATTACAAATAACCAAACAAACCTTCACACACAACACAAGTTAATTAAAAAAAAAATTACATTATTTGTATTTCATCAAAATGTGACATTATTGGTAGGGGTGAATAATTTTGCAAGGAACTGTACATATCCAAGAATAAGAAACGTAAGTTTGACATGAATAGAATGCTAATAGAACCAGTTTAATCAAATGAATTAAACAGTTTTACAAAAGTTAGGAACATATGCATAAATATTTGTTTCCCAGCTATTGCCCATTTAGATACAATAATATCGGGAAAATATATGGGTATTAACAATTTTTGAAAAGAAAAACTTCATATTCACGCAAACTAATATAGATTAGACGTATAATACGGGGTCGAAAGAAGTTTGATTTTGTTTAGTTAAATGACTTTGGAGCGTTTTGTTAGTAAGTAGCTGGCCAGGTGGATAAGGCGCTCGACTCGCAATCTGAGGGTCGCGGTTCGAATCCCCATCCCACCAAACATGCTCGCCCTTTCAGCCGTGGGGGCGTTATAATGTGACGGTCAATCCCACTATTCGTTGGCCAAAGAGTAGCCCAAGTGTTGGCGGTTGGTGGTGACGACTAGCTGTCTTCCCTCTAGTCTTACACTGCTAAATTAGGGATGACTAGCGCAGATAGCCCTCGTGTAGCTTTGCGCGAAATTAAAAAAACAAAACAAACAAACACAACGGCAATCAGTTGAAAGTTCGAACAAGCACTTAGATCCCTAATCAGATACACCAACCAAAAGGCCATACTCGGGGCAGTTTGATCATTATCTGTCAATGAATCTGTCACTTTGATCATTAACTGTCAATGAATTACTTCTTGGTAAGAGGACAACAAAGATAAGAAGAAGACCATTCTAAACGAAAAATGAGGGAACATGGTAAGTTAAAAATCAACTTTCAATTTCGTTATTGTTTCAAACATGAACCATTTAATTATTACCCTCGTTGTCATGGCTGTATTTATTAGGTAAACTTCCTCAAATTATGCTAATGAACTATGAACAAATATGAACTCTCACATGTTGCGACTTTACACTAAATTCAAAAATCTTCTCAAAGCTTAAAAGTTAAGTACTGTTATAGAGGCCTAGCTGCTCTTGCGAGGGACCATGACTTTTTAGTGTTAAGTATCGATGTTCATAACCCTGTTGTTCATGGTTATGTGCTCATCGTTTAGTTTAGACGCATCAAACCCAACAGACGCTTATTTTTTGAACAGTTGGTTTTATTATTTAAAGGAAACGAGTTTGTTCCTTATAATCTACATACTGTCTAACTTTATTCACAAATGCAGAAATGACCATACTTTACCAACCATTTTATAAAATTGACCATTATTAAAGCTGCTAGCATGAACTCGCCTTACAAGGTACAACTATAGAGTTAAAGCACAATATATTTTATCCAACAATTGACAATCGTTTAAACTATTTACACATACCCTACATGAGCATTATACATATTACTGAAATAGAACAAAAAATTTTCAAATCAATACATATATATATAGGTCAGTAAATATCAATAAATTTAAGATTAACATGCAATAACGTTAAATCTAGGTGAATTACCATACAATATCAAGGTTTTCTGCTTGAGAAAATTATATTGTTTTATGAATTACATGATTTTCATCTGTTGAGTTGTTTTTATTCAGGACCAAAAAAAATTGATCTGTGACATCATCATACATTAATATACAAAAAATGTGCATGTCATTCTGTTTATATATATATATATATATATATATCATACTTGTGCTTATAAGATTTCATGCTTATAAGCAATTTTTAAGTTTTGATGTAAACACTTTTCTGTAAAATTAAGTAATATTTCGAGTTTAGTTTCCAAGAATATTGCCTCAGTGCAAATAAGATATATAAATAAGAAACAACTTTTAAATCATTTCTTAATAAATGATACATATTAAATATTGCCATAATAGACTTTAATTTTTTTACAACTGTACTTGTTCATGTTTAGACTATGTTCTAAAATCTTAAAATAATAGAAAAAGAAAGCAAACTAGATCTCAATCACTTATTCAGGTCCTGAAATAATGATTATAAACTGTTTTCAACAGTTATCATTACTACCTTATAATGAACCTGAGTAACACAGTTTTTGAATGTTTAATACTAAAAAAAAAATCATCATTATTTTTCTCTTTTATTCATACAAGAGAATCTCCACGTAGGAATTACTAATTTACTTTCAAAAGAAATGCTTTTTGTGCCAATTTTAATGATAAAATATATGCACCTGAGAAGCAAGTAATATATCAATAATTTTTTTAAAACTATTTAGCAAAGTTAGGCTTCACCCATAACCATAATAATGATCGAAGATAAGAGAGTACTAATGTATTTCATGAAAGTTAAAAGAAACTTTGTTGAAATCTGTTTTAGGATGTTTAACTAGAAATATCGCTGCCACAGGTCAACTGTACCAGTTTTTGTCTTAAAATCTCAATTATTTACCTACATTAAATATGAAGTTCTAAGTAAACACAATGTAGACACAAACAATTATTTTCCCTTGCCACACTTATACAACACAATTACAGTTGATTTAACTTGCTAGTTTAACAAGCTGAAATAAATAATGTTTACTAAAGTATAATGAATTTTCTCAACTCTCTTTTCATTTGGCAGTGTTCATAGCTTAAAACACTAGCTGAAAAACCAAAAAAAAAACACCTCAGTTTCAAGAATATTACCAGAATTAAAATTAGCGTGTAAAATGTTTAGTTAAGTTTCCAAAACCTCTTATATTTATTCCACAGTCCTAATATTTCAAGGAAATTCAGTACATTATAACACAGAAAAAGAAAGGGAACTATCTTATGTAACTCCACTAGCAACTAAGTAAAAAATATTTTTCAAAAGGAGTCAATTTTACTGCAATATACAGAGAAAGTTGAGGACATTACATTGATAATGTGCTGCACCACACAACCTGGGCACCAAACTACTACAATTCTTAAAGAATATAAAACCATAATAACAATTAAGCCATGTTTAACACATAAAACAACATTCTGTTTATCACAACCTAAGCATCAGGGTAGCACTGAACATCAGATCATCACACTTCTGCCAAGTGATGGTAGTATGGAACCATGTGAATACCTGCCTGGTCTTTGTCACATCGTACAAATACCAAGATACCTGCATATGAAGTATATGCAGGCAGATACAGTTGATTCATGTCTCTAATAATTTGTTCTGCCTTTGGAGCTGAAGTTGTTGGTATAACAAACTTTAGGAATACTTGAAGAAGTTTGTTGCCCAAGTTGAATGAGATTCTCTACAATGTTGGTTAATAAACATTAGTGAGATAAAGACAAATGATAACATTATACAACTATTTCAAATTCTTTGGAATTTGAAAAATCTTTACTTTTGTTGTTTGTTAGTACTCTTTGCATTCTACATTAGTAGCATGATTGGTTAATTTTTTCTTCTGTCACATGTATGTTTGGTAAACTAATCTATAAAAGTAACACAGTCCAATTGGTGAGTTCATAAAAAAAAAAGTCTTTCAAAAGAAAAAGTTGTATTTAAAGTTGTTAGGTGTAAATAAAGTGGATTTGTTAGTTGTGATGCTTATTAATGTTTTTTTAATTATTATTTTCACTTCCATTCCATGCACATCCTGAAAATCCAAAATGAATGACATCACAAATAAGTTCACAACTGCATAAGTGCTTTAAAGCATCTCATTTCCTGCTACACAATTCTACTGCTACAACACCCTTCTGTATCTTGTAAATCCACGTCTTCTGGATAGCAGAGGATTCCTATGGCTTCTGCAGGTCTGACAACACTTAACTTTAAAGTACCAAGTGGAACACATATGACGTAAGGATTTACATAGAGCCATGTCAAGCTTGTCCTTACACTGACTGAATGCTAAAAGACAATCACAGAGATATAATATTACTGAATGTTGCTGAGTACCATAATGTTGCCCATTTACTTAGGCAGAAAATCTATTTTAATTTACTCAACAATTTTACAGTTATTCATTAGTAATGATAAAAGTTATAAATATGATTGTACATTTTAAAAATGCATAATTTGGAGACAAGAGAACTTTAATGGGTCCTGGTTTTAAACTATTATATTATTTTATTTATTATTTTATTAAAAATAAATTTTATGTTATTTTATTAAAAAATGATATCTTAAAAGAAATAGAAACATTTCAGAACAGAGGTAGATCTTTTTTTCAAGTGAAAGTAAATTTTGTTTTTTAATGAGAACACTAGCTCAATTTTAATAGTAACAGAAAAAATTACTATTGAATCAATTATACTGGCTTTCTTACAGTTTACAAAGTACATCAACCCCAACAAGATATGCCACTCTCAACATAATTAATGATCCAACTTAAAGAAAAAAGTAGATTTTTTTTATTTAAATTAACTTACTCTGTAATGAAACATTATTGTAACAATATATAACTGCTTACAAATATTTTCTTAAATGAAAAATTCATATCTGAAACTTACCAGAGTTACTTAGTGGGCAATCATCGGAGTTACAAGGTTGTCGATGTGACGGTTTGTTTTCTGCATCACAACCAGTGGCTCTTTTGTTTGAAGTGAAATTGACACATTTCACATGGCGGATTTGGTATCCTCCACCACATGTTGCAGAACACTAGAGTAATGATCAGAACATACATACTTGTACTATATCCTTTGGAAAAAAGACAAAATATTATTTTTGGGGGCAAAAATACAGTTGATTGTCTATCAGATCTATTTTTATTAGAATATTTATGCTTTTGTGACTTATAAACATTTTATACATTAATTCAAACGTTTAAGAACTATAATATTTGAGGAAACAAACAACTGTTCTTCGTTCTTTTCAACTGTAGTTACTACTTAAATAAGACAATTATCAAGCACTGTATTAAGTAAACTCTAGGTTTTAAGGTTTGATTCACTCTTTAAAAAGTTTTAAACATCTCCACCATGAACAAAAGATAGTTACCTAACCTATGATCTCTTCAGTGATTGCTAAGTATAGAAAGGTTTTTCTCTTACAAATACTTTAAAGTAAAAACGTACTTTACTCCATGGTCCAGCCACCCAATCTAAGCAAGGACGGTCAAAACATTTGATGGCTATTTTCGGTTTGGTTTCAGGGTTGCATGTATTAGGTTTTGGGCACTGGACTTCTCTGTATTTCCTACCCTCTCCACAATGGGCTGAGCACTGGGAGTTAAAACACAGTATTACTGTTACTGCATAATCACACCAATTACTTTTCTTTAGCAACAACTTCTTATTAAAACCAGTGGTTTTGAAAAATTGTATACATACTTGTGCATTAATGCAAATTTAAATAAATAAATACAGTCATAATTCATACAGATGAGAGTTGAAAAAAAAGTTTTTCTTCTTATTAAATAACATACAACATCATCACAGAGATAAATATTTTATTACTCTCTCAAAAACATACAAAAATAGCCTAATAGTCACAAGGTCTTATTGGGAACCAGAAATGTCTTGCTTAGGGCCTCACACTGTCAGATTAAAAATTATATTCAATATAGAAATATATTCGTTATTTTTATCTCATGCAAAACATTCTATAACGTTTAATCCCTTACAGTAACATTTAGGTATCTAATTTGAACTTTAATGTAAACACAATAGGGGTTTATATGAAGAATCAATCTTACCGCACTCCATTCCGATAAAAACCACTTCAGGCAGGGTTCCATGTTACATGGCTCTTCTATATGTGGCATTTGTTCATCAGTACACAGCTCAGGTACAACCATGTGCCTAGTCTTTGTGTCAAGACACATGGCCTCACGTGTCCTGATCCCACCATCACAAACTCTAGAACACTGTGATCATAAAACAACACAGAACAGAAGTTAAAGAATTAGTTAAATAATGAGTATTTACAATGAAAGTGTCAGATTTAAGAGCCAAAACAGACTGTGACATTGATGTATTTTTCACAAGTAGCTATGAAACTTAAGATCTATGGGATAAATTTAAATAGTCTAGAAAGGTTTAGCACCTTTAGTACTTCTAATAACACATAAACAGGTACTTTGAGAACATTTTATGAAAACAATATTATTGCTTATTTTGTAATGAATGAATGATGCATAGTTGATTGATTTTTTTTTAAACTCAGACCCATGTATTGTTTGGTACAAATGGCTTTTGTTATTAGTTACCTGGCTCCAAACTCCAATCCTCCATTGATACTTGTTTTCCTCAGAAGAGTCATCCTGATCATCTTCTGCATCATCTGGTATGATTGCTGGTTCCTTCCGTACAGTCTTTTGCTGACTGGGATTCTCAGAAATGGTAGTCTCTTTGGTATTCTCTGTTAGCACACCAGAATGTTGGTCATTAAAGACTTCATAAAATGTTGCATTTACTAGATCTTTGGCCACACCATGTGGTCTGTTGTTCTTACGTTTTTTGTGTTTTCGTTTTCGGTTGTGATTATGTCTGTGCTTGTGATTCTTTTGCTTTATGCCTTCTTTTGTTTCATTTTTATCTTTTACTTTGTCATCTTCAATTGGTGGTAGTGTTGTACCAGGAGTTTCATTTTGCACACCTGTTGAGATTTTGGTATTTGTGTCATTGCTATCAGTATCTTCCTTTAATGGAGTTGGGAAAATGTTATTGTCTGTAATACTTTTTAGTTGAGTTGTTGGGAACTCATTATTAGCAGCACCCTCTGTTAGAATTTTTGGGAATTCTTTTCTTTCAGTAACATCTTGTGGTACATCTGTTGGAATTTCATTGCTATAAGAAACATCTTCTGGTAGACTTGTTGGGATTTCAATGTTATTAGAAATATCTTCTGGTAGAGTTGCTGGGAAGGTCTCCTCAGTTTTTTCTGTTTGGATACTATCTTCTGTTTTCTCCTCTGAATCAGGAGGACAATTATGGACCTGGCATTCCATAAATGCAGTAGGTTCTGTAGCCTGATGGCAAGTGAGACCTCCTTGACAAGTGACCTTACGAAATCGTAGTCCTCCTCCACAGCTGACAGAACACTAGCAGAAACATCATAAAATTATTAGAGCAAATAATGTTATGAAATAAATCTTGACAAACAATCTATATTCATTAGTTGTTTGTATAAGGTTACAAAAATAAGTACCTCATTGTTACACTTTAGCATCAGGTTTCAGTTTTAGTAAATGAACTTGCAGCTTAACACATGAAACAACTAAAACCCAACAAGTAAAAGGAGAACATTTTGATAAACCTACCTGAGACCAGTCACTCACCACCCATATTCCACACGTGATGTTGCTGCACTGTCTGCGGGAAGGTGGCTTGTGTTTCTTGTCACAAGGTCCATTTGGCAGACTACAATACACTTGTCTTGTCTGGTGGTTACAAGGATCATCCCTACAAGTCTATAATTAAACAGAAATTACTCTTACATTAACATATCAATTATTGTTTTGTTTTCAGACATTCAGGAGATTTTTTTTCTTGTCAAGAGTAAATTTGTATAATTTTTAATTCTTCCTAACTACTTTATCCACCCTTCAGTCAATTTATTTAAACAACAAAAAACAATCACAGGTGCATCAAATCTTACCATTTTGTCCTCAGCTAACAAACCATATTGTACTAAGATAACCAAAAAAAAAGACTATATTATTAAGAGGTTAGTGATAAGATAGAAAAGCCCTTCTTTACCAAGGAGCAATTAAAAAATTAAAATATAAAACCACAAGCACAAAATTCTAAGGATAGCTTAGTTAACCTAAGTGATGGGAAAAAAATAACTTAAACCCCAAACAAGAATTGTTTCATAAGCTATAGATTTATATCTCACTGGAGATTTTGTCTTGAATAGGGACCATATCAGGATTCTAAGAAAATTATAAATAAATTAATATTATAGATGAGAGCTAGAAATTACATTTGACCATTCACTATATGCCCACTGAGCATCCCCAGGACATGGGTGCTTATGATGACAATGTTCTTGGTCCACAGGTTTTTCCAAGTCTTTGCATTCTTCCTCCAAAAGGGCTATTTGCTCATCCGGTCCAAGGGAACGGACACAAATTACTGTCCTCTGCCTTATACCTCGTTCCCCACAAGTAACTGAACAGTGCTGCCAGGGTCCTGTCCACCATCTAAAAGGAAAAAAAGAAAGAATCATTTATGTAGTCTTGTATTTACTGTATAGTTTGTGTCTTGAGTCATAACAATAACAATTGTTTCTTTCAATGAGAATTACAAAGTATGTTATTCCTTAGTTTAAATACTATATACAGAAAAATACTGACATAAAATTGAAAATCTGACTTTCAGGTGTTCAAGACATTTTTTAGAAGTAGAAACTGGACTTATTAGTCAGTTCATAAATAGGAGGATTCTGACGTATCCACCACCTAAAGAAGTTTGGAGTTAAGAGTTCATTAAAACATCTGATCTACAGACATTACACTAAAGTCACCTTCAAAAAGCCTAGATGATAAAAACTCACAAAAGGAGATAACAAATGCAAACTTGTGGATAAGATCTAGAACCTACAAAATGAAACATACTAAAAGAAAAAGTTAGAAAGTAGACATTTAAGGTGAGAAAAAAAACATTTTAAGTATAATAAAAGTCAACTTTTTATAAGAAAAAATAACAGAAAAGCTTCATAAGGCCCCCAAAAAATGTACATTTCATTTGTTATTGAAACAAAAAATAAAATAAGGGAGAAATGGATTTGGAGGCTTTTCGGCATTTTCTGTAAGGGTGAAGGACTACATAACTTGTTGTCTTCTTTCTGAATTTTAAGATTTTAAAGATGTCAAGTGTCACATTCATGTGTCCAAAGTTGACATCTAAAGGTTCATTCAAATTAATTGTTTTTAAATCCATAAAATGTTATCAATATATTGGATTCTCACACATAGTGATAACAATGATGTGTTTATTGATCAATATATCTTGAGGTGACTCAAAAACACTCTTTAACCAAGCACTCAATTTCACAGTACAGATTAGGGAGGGTGGAACTTTTCGGATCATTTGAATTCTGGTCTAGTACATACTAAACACAAAAATAGTTCAATAGGTTTGATTGTGAGAGTTAAGACTGGTAAGGAAGTTAAACTCCGTCATAGCTTTCCTAGTTAATAGTAAAGCAGAAGTATGTAACTAAATTTCACTTCAGAAATGTGAATTTCTGTAAAGAATGTCATACATACCTGGCTGGACATTGTTGTTTATTACATGTGCGAGTGATGTCAGAAGGCTTATTTGTGACATTGCAATATTTGCTTTCTACTAGTCCAGCCTCTTTTTCCATACACTTAGGTCTTGAAATCTGGAATCCTTTCAGTACGTCACAGACAGAAAGAAAATAATTAAAAATTAAAAATCCTTTGTATATCCGAATGAATAATTACAAACTAATACATTTCTTGTACTTGCTAAAACTTTATAATCTGCTAGCTCATTTACAAATTGTTAATTTGGTACTTATAGGCACGTCTGTTCGGTAAAGGAACGTCAACAACACTATTTCTACATGTAAACTTGTTCATAGGTAAATAGTGTATCACACAAAAGAGACTTTTTGTGTATAAAAAGTAGCCCATGTATTTCTTTATATAGAAATATGTACCATCCTTTATCCTTCAAAAGCAGTAAATGAAAAGTATAAAAGCAGATCTTGAGCTTCATTTTGGGTTAACCATGGGTAAATTTAAGGTCTCTTTAGGTCGTGTTTGAGCGAACTGGGAAAGCAGTAAATGAAAAGTATAAAAGCAGATCTTGAGCTTCATTTTGGGTTAACCAAGGGTAAATTTAAGGGCTGTTTAGGTCGTGTTTGAGCGAACTGGGAGGGTTAAGTGCCAGTAGAGATCTCTTCCTCCAAGTCCAAGTTTAAGGACTTATAACGCTAAAATCCAGGGTTAAGTTTTTCGCGGGTGCCAGAGTGCAATTAGCCCATGCAATCAGCATTAAAACAATTAACACAACCACAATAATAATTTTGTGTTTAAAAATAGAGAATATTATCCCTAACAAAATACAATAAAATGTGATATGGTCACGTCATCGATTGGAAACAACAATAATGCTATGAATGAACATTACCTCCTCCACAGGTAGCGGAACAATCAGACCAATCAGTAAACTCCCAATGAAATTCTGGTTTCCTTGTTGCGTTTTTATTAGGCACTGTGAACTCAAAAGTAATACCTGGGTTTTCCGTCTGAAATAGTAGCTGTACAAAAATAAAAATAAATAACTTCGTGGAAATGTAACTTCTCCACATAAATGTTCTCCTTTATGAAAAATGTATCATATACTTTGAAGAATAAAAAAAGATTGATGAAAATAGTTTCATCCCCCCAAACTCTTCATTCTTATATTTTAACAAAATGTATGAAAGAAACTGAAACTATCACACTGCCATCTGTTGGGTGATTTGTGTATTTAGTTTCTCACCAGTAAAGATCACTTGCTTTTTTTAGCTACAGTAGATCAAGAATCTTCTGATTTAAATTAGCTGAAACCCACTATAATCATAAAATGTAAATTCACTAAAATCGTTTTAATTTTGTTAAGATCATTTTGTAATGGGTAACCAATTGCAAGACCAAGTTGATATGATTTGCTGTTTTATAAATAATTAAGAAATGATTTTTGTATTATAACAGTAAGTTTAATAATTGCAAATATAAACTCTCGTATCTTTTCAACAACAAATAAGATGTACTTTATTTTCGAAACACAAAAATCAGCTATTGTTTATTGTCGCTGTAACGTTCGCAGGAGTATCAATTACACCATTCAGAAAGAATTATCTAGAAGAGACTTTAAAAAAAAAAAAACACTACCAGAACGTGAAAGTAATTTATACGAACAGGATGGTAACAAAGTACATTTTATACATATGGCAAACCTACCAGAATGCGGATGTTACTTTTGACAGGACCCGGAGCATGTAGACTCTCCTTCTCTCCTACCCTGTTATAGTAAAACGTAGTTCCGCCAGCCATGTACTCCCCACTCCACTGAATGAACCAATCACCGTTCAACTGGAATTCTCCATCTTCATCCTGAACAGCGATGTAATTGTTAGCTTCCGCTATTTCTTCCACGCGTATGTTTCTAGCTCCCTTGGGGATGGTCACTATTTCTGCATAACCTACGATTCATTTAACAAAATTTGATGTTTAAAATCACTTCTCTTTCCCAGTTTGAACCATATTTTTAGAAGTTCCTAATCCAGAACTCACCTATTTTCATTCGTTTGAACTTATAAATGCTGGCAGTACAATGAGAACCATATTTTTAGAACTTCCTCATCCAGAACTCACCTATTTTAATTCGTTTGAACTTATAAATGCTGGCAGTGCAATGAGAACCGATTTCATACTTGTCTATAACATGTTAAATTAAAGAAAGCGTTTGACAAAAAAAACAAAAAAAACTACTCGTTTCCATGGCCTTGAACTTTGACTGTCAAGTCACGTGATTAAACGAGATCTAGACATATATATTGTTTTTTGGCTCGTTTTTAGTATACAGATCTAAACAAGAGAGGATCTCTGAAAATGCAGATAAATGCATGAAACAATTTTCACTTTTGCACTCGTCACTATTATTTTGCCTTTTTTTTAATAAACAATACATGAAAAATGTGCAAAACGCACAAATATTTAATGCTTTGCACCATCAAGTGATTTAGACGCAACGTTGCTATATATCGCACACATTGGCTATAACTGCCTGTCTAAAATTAAATTTGTATAATAAGAATAAAAAACACAAAACTATATACTAGAAAATGTGTTCTGTTACGCTTGTGACCTACGGTTGAAATTTTGTTGTAATACCAAAAAAAAACTAACAAATGAAACATCTAAATTTAGTCCATATTACACAACTTAATTAATTACTTTATTACTAGTTTATTAAAATGTGAACTTTCTGTAACTTTTTTCCCGAAAGTGTATAAACTTAACCAACACGTTTATATTAGAATTAGTTAATAACGATAGACTAGACTTTTACAGCATTCAAAAGTATTATTTGCAAAATAAAAGAAAATTGTTATGAATTGGTAATTTGAAAGCATACATAACTGTGATTAAAAATTATGTGCTGCCCTCTAGAACGTCATGGAAAAATATGTATTTTATTACAATGCTATGCCTAGAGTAGTGTAAGCTAAAAGATGTTATTATTTCAACTTTATTCTAAGACCCCACGAGTGAAATCAAAGGAGAATGCATTATAGTATCTCAATCACACTATATATATATATACAGTACCGACGAGGACTTTCGCACAATACCGAGGATCAGTTTAGCAGAGTTGGCGAAATGCAAATTGAACACAAGTGTTCAGTCTGGCCATTTTTCTATTAATGTCATTAAATGGCTTCTAAATTTGAGAAATATGTATTTAATCAACATTCTAAACCACACTATTCTACAGATGCCCTATATAGTGGGGGAAGTGCGCCTTTAGTTAAACTTACGCTATAGTACATGAAATTCATGTCTCATAAAATTATTTTTAAATAATCTATACTCGCTTAATCCATTTCTCTAATCGTTTTATTCCCTCGCTGACTTTTGATATATCACCCTTAGAGTGAATAAAACTAGTTTTATTCCCTGACTGACTTTTGATATATCACCCTTAGAGTGAATAAAACTAGTTTTATTCCCTGACTGACTTTTGATATATCACCCTTAGAGTGAATAAAACTAGTTTTATTCCCTGACTGACTTTTGATATATCACCCTTAGAGTGAATAAAACTAGTTTTATTCCCTGACTGACTTTTGATATATCACCCTTAGAGTGAATAAAACGAGTTTTATTCACTGACTGACTTTTGATATATCACCCTTAGAGTGAATAAAACTCGTTTTATTCCCTGACTGACTTTTGATATATCACCCTTAGAGTGAATAAAACTAGTTTTATTCCCTGACTGACGTTTGATATATCACCCTTAGAGTGAATAAAACTAGTTTTATTCACTGACTGACTTTTGATATATTAACCTTAGAGTGAATAAAACTAAACTGAAAATTCATGAAACTATTTATATTAAGCTCAGAATCTTATATTTTTCTGGACAAAAATGCAGCAGTGTTTCATCGTTTTTCTCAACTTACCAAGTCCGTGTATCTGTTTAAATTCTCCCCTCACGGTAAGACAGTGCGTCCCATCCCCATGACAGATACCACACCGGTCTTCTTGAGCTTCGGAGTCAATGCCCCAGTCACACGCCACGTGCTGCAAGTGATGATATTGTCAGATGTTTACTTGATGTCAGACTTGATTACATCACCATGTTTTCGGTGATGTCAATGCTCTCAAAACTTACATTACTTTGTTTTATTACGTTGTTTTGTACTAATACCCAATAATAATTCACTTTAAAGAACTTCCACACCGAGTATTTAAACAGCAGCTAATTAAACTGTTTACAATAATAGGAAATAGTAAGAACTTCTGTGTTTTACGTAGAAAAACTCGAGTATTTCCACATCTGAAAATAATTATTCTAATGAATCAACGGAATCGAATTAACAAAATAAACAAACATGATTGGAAGTAACTGGTCTTTTGTAATTCTACGGTTTTTAAAAATATTTACCTAGAATTATTTTAACCAATTTAAGACATTTGTGTTTTCAAAGTATTCAATTAAAAACCGAGATATGAAGCTGCTAATCTGTTAGAAATAAGAAGTTTTTAAAAATACTTTAAATAAAATACTTTTTAAGTCACAACTTGCTTGTCTATTGTATTTGTTTTTATCTAGTCACAGTTTAAATATATTTACTAACCGTATTTGCAAGTAAATGTACCTGTACAGACTAACAAGTAAAATTAGGAAAAAAAATATTCAGCCGATTATCGGATAAGCTTACTAAACATTACACTATAAACATGAGTATATTACACTCAACATTGTAAGCATGCTAAGCACTACACTATAAGCGCGAGTATATTCGTTTGTGTTGAATTTCGCGCAAAGTTACACGAGGGCTATCTGTGCTAGCCGTCCCTAATTTAGTAGTGTAAGACTAGAGGGAAGGCAGCTAGTCATCACCATCCACCGCCAACTCTTGGGCTACTCTTTTGCCAACGAATAGTGGGATTGACCAACACATTATAACGCAGCCACGGATGAAAGAGCGAGCATATTTGGTGGGACGGGAATTCGAACCCGCGACCTTCAGAATGCGAGTCGAGCGCCCTAACCACCTGGTCATGCAGGGCTTACGAGTATATTATACTCAACACTGTAAGCATACTAAACACAACACTATAAACGCGAGTATATTACACTCAACACTGTAAGCATACCAAGCACAACATTATAAACGACAGTATATTACACTCAACACTGTAAGCATGCTAAATACTACACTATAAATGCGAGTATATTGCACTCAACACTGTAAGCATACTAAACACAACACTATAAACGCGAGTATATTGCACTCAACATTGTAAGTATACTAAATACTACACTATAAACGTAAGTATCTTATTATTTGTTAATATTTATAAAGTTCAAAAGAAAGGCACGTAAATATAAGCTGTTGCAGACTTAGGTGTCTTTAAGTTTAAATACGATTTATTATTCTTGAAATGATATCGGGCCAATATCAGTTGTGGGAAAATTTTGGAAAGTCTAATAAAAGATGCTTTGCAAAATCATTTAATAAAATTTTGAATTTTATTAGATAGTCAACGCGGTTTCACTAAGAGAAAATCTTGCCATACAAATCTTTTGACATTTTTTGAAAAGGCTACTGCTTATGTAAAGAGGTTATAACTTTATTGTATAGGTCACTGGTTAGGCCACATTTGGAGTATTGTGTTCGGTTTTGGGTTCCTTACTTTATAAAGGACATTGAATTGTTAGAAATGGTTCAGAGAAGGATTAATAGAATGGTGCCTGGGATGGAGGACTTTCATAAGAGGAGAGATTATGATCTCTGAAAATTTTTTCTCGAAAAAAGAAGAATGGGGGGGGGCCTGATTGAGGTGTTTAAGATTCTAAAGGGAATTGATAATGTTGATGCATCATCTTTTTTTCATACTTAATGGTGAGAATAGTAGGACTAGGAGACACAAATATAAATTTTGGCAAGGTAGAAGTCATCTTCAGCTAAGACAGTTTTATTTTTCTAACAGGGTGGTTGGCCTCTGGAATAGGTTGCCTTCGGATGTTGTGGAGGCAGTGAATTTAAGTGAGTTTGAAAGTTTGATAACTATATGAATGATAAGGGCTGACTTTAAGATTTTATTTAATAAATGTATTTATTTAATAGTTTTAGTTTAGTTTAGAGGACGAATGGGTCCCTTGTTGTCCTTAAACATTATGTTATGTTATTAATGTTTCTATTATATTTTAACAAGTTGAAGAAATAAAATACACAACTTTAAAATGTTGAAACAACAATGTGTATGATTCATATAATCTCAGGTTATTTGCCTTTTTAGTGTTTAATTTTCACGAAATATTGGCACATGGTTCCTTACCCTACACTTGCCGTTAATGCACATATCTCGTGTTCCAGGTTTACATGGAGTCCCGTCGTCAACGGTGTCCGCCAGTAATACAGAAAAGAACTCCCCTTCCGGTTTACAATGTAACTGACAAGGTGTCACTATAAGAGGCAAAAGTCGATAAGTCTATTGTACAAAGTAAAACTGTTTAATACAACAACCCCAACAAGCTGAAAACAGAAGCTCTATACCAGACGTGACAAGAAATATCATTTCACTGGGGAAGACGTAATGTTAAGCTGACAAATACTTCCATGATTAAAAGCAGTTATAACGGAATATTTAAATACAACCTATCTAATATAAATATTCATCTTACTTGGGACAAAGATTGGTTTGTGGCATTTACGATGTATTTGTCTGAAATTAGGGATACTACTAAACCTAAATTTGGCTTTTTTTTTTTACCGTTTAAAAATAAGAAATTTGGTCACATTTCTGGCTTTTTTTTTACATTAGCTACATATAATTTGGTTAAAGTTCAAGCTTATTTACGTTTTTGTTGTTTTGTTTTACGTTAGGAACATATACTTTTGTGAAAATTCAAGTTTTTTTGCTTTATGAACTTGTAATTTACTTAAAATTCGTTTTTTTGTTGTTGTTGTTCTTTTTTGCCGTTTAGGTACATGGAATTTGGTCAACCTCAAACGGAGTTTTAGGTTTTCTTATTCGTAACAATACAAAAGGCCTACATAAGAACAATCGCGAATTTCGTCACATTTAGATATCTTACATAAAACGTCCTACTGTTAATATACAAACATTTCCTTCTGTTGATGAGTTGAATACTCGCTCTTAATCAGATATGTTGCTAAAGAAGTAGAATATTACACTGTGCCAACGGTCAAGAAACATCTAATGTCTAACTCATCACGAGGAGGTTGGTTTCTTAAATGAGTTTGAAAAATACCGTACTCTCATTGGTTTATTCCCGTGAAAAGTTGTAATGGTCGGTTAAGAGATTTTCTTCACATCAGACAACATTTCATCTAGTCTGTCGTCATGGTGGAGATCATTCAGATACAGTTACTGCGCATGTGCATATACTTACATGGAGTTGCCACAGGTAGCCATAAGTACAACTTTTCTTTGTAAGGTACGTCATTATAACGACTGCATTGGACAGCACGGAAATTAGAAGAGTCCTCAGGGCAAGACTGCAACAAAAGGAGTATTGTTACAGATAATGAATAACATAACATATGAGTTATAGATTAGGACAGTGTTTCCCAAAGTGTCTGGTGCCTCTATGGGGGCGCGAGTAATTAGGGTAGTTAATAGGGCAATATTGTAAAGTTACGTTTTAATATTTTTTCTATTAATGAAAATAATAATTAATTACTACGATACATCTAGCGTTTTAATGTGTATACGTGTATTACAACTTGTCACTTAACTTACTCTTTCACTCATTTAAAAAAAAAAGAGGGGGTGCGCAAGAAACGATATTTGTTAATTAATTGGAGGGGGCGTGGTTGATAAAAATTTCGGAAACGCTGGATTAGGACATTATTAACCTCTAATTTGATCTCAACTTCTACACCAACAGAACAGTCGTTTTCTAGCTGATGACTTGAAATGCCTGTTGGACGTAAACTATTCAAAGTTATAACATAAATTTTAAATCATCCAAAATACCACAGTGTTAAAAGTATTGGTCTAATCAACAAACACATTGAGTGACTACTTTTTGTAGTTAAATAATGTAAATAAGATTTGGTTTGGTTGTTTTGAAGCGCAAGGCTATATAATGGGCTACCTGTGAACTGCTCACCAGGAGTATCGAAACCCGAGTTTCGGCGTCGTAAACCTGCATATGTACCGCTGAGCCACTGGGGCAGGTAATTAAGAAGCAGGTACTGTAATGTTCGACATTGATATATATTTCTAAATCATAAGCCAAAAGTTCTAATGGAATAAAAAAAATTATAAACACGAAAGAAAAAGTGAAAGGCTTACTATTCCATTTATACAGATACTTAAGGTTATGCACAGCTTTTAAAAGATGATATAAAATGTAATGATGTAAGGTTCACAACTTTTCTGTTTATATCACGTGTGCTAGGCCGGAAGTAATGAGCTTAACCTAGTCAAATCATGTGACCGAATTCGCTGAATAACATAAGCACCAAGACATTATTATAACACAACTGTAACGTCTTGTTATAGTTACATTGTGTAATCAATTTTCAAAGTGCTTAAAAATAAAAGTCTTTTTTTAGGGGGGGGGTTGGTTAGTCATTAAATGTATGCCCAAATTGGAAAATTTAGACTTTGAAAAATCACTTCAAGTCATGTACGTTTAACCTACTTGTGAAACGTCGTTGGTTAACAAGTTGTACGTTTCGAGAGGTTCTACTCTGAGTAACTCAGGTGTATGCAACGGAGAGCAGTTTCTTAAACTATACCGTTTCTTCGCAGTGAGCGGCCAGCACTGTAACCTGGGGCTGAAGAAATGTCATATAAAATGATGATATAGCTGGGTGAGAGATGATGAGCAAGGAAGCGAACGTGGTTTAAAATAACTTGCTTCCTGCACCGTACAACACGTGTTCAGGCGATATTTTAAGAGTTAAAGTGGATGACGAAACCACATACTTCCAGTCAGCATGCTTTGAAGGTTTACTTTAATAATTCATCACGACAGCAGCGCAGACAGAATACCAGACACTTTTCACAATTTCTACCAAAGCTGAATGAATAAATTGTAAAAACTGTTAGAATTAAAATAGAAAAACTGTTGTTTCATTCTACTTTATTTGGGGGGGGGGGCATGGTCAGGTGGTTAGGGCGCTTGACTTGCAATCTGGGTGTCGCGGGTTCGAATCCCCGTCCCACCAAACATGCTCGCCCCTTACAGCCGTGGGGGCGTTATAATGTAAACGTCAATCCCATTATTCGCTGTTAAAAGAGTAGCTCAAGAGTTGGCGGTGGGTGGTCTTTCACTGCTAAATTAGGGACAGCTAGCGGGAATGTTGGTACAATAAAAGTGAACCTTGTTCTGGTCTCTTCTTACATTTACCGAGATATTTGTTGTGGACGTTTCCAACTGTAATATCTTCAATTTGATTAAGTATCTCCTGATACGCCAGTAAGCTTTAGAATAGTTGCCCCCCCCCCAGTGGCACAGTGGAATGTCTGCAGACGTATACTGTTAGAAACCGGGTTTCGATATCCGTGGTGGTCAGAGCACAGATAGCCCTTTGTGTAGCTTTGTGCTCTATAGCAAACAACGTTTAGAATAGTAATGAAAAAAATCATTAAAATAGTTTAGTGAAGTGTCAAGAAATCATTTTTGGTCAATTTAAACATCTAGAAATGTAACTGTTACCATACTGTCATACGTTACAGAACAGGAACCAAAACTTACTTACTTGGGTATTGCATACTCGATAGCGTTTCCTTTCCCCAATACAGTATCTGCCTCCATTTGCAGGACTGAAAGGCAAACGAATACACTGAGTATTCACTTCACTTTTGTTCAAGATTTGGTATCACCTAAAATTTAACCATCTGATAACTTGCAAACATTTATGATCGTTTTAGGAAGTATGCCCACGATCTTTTAGAAGACTACAGAGGATTTAAAGAAACAAACACAAAAGAAACGTGCAAAAATGCGCATGCTCGTGTACTCCAACTCCATTACATATTTAGTACTTATTTACGACAGCCGAAACCAAACTCTTCACGAAACTGGCTTGGCTCGCTTTCTTTATTTTTTCGAAAAACCTACTAAAGTTTTATTCGTTTTTTTAAATGTTTACTGCACTTTTGCTATAACAACAGGCATAGGTGAAAAGATAGGCGCAAGGTAAATTTAGTAAGATGAAACTTATCACACGATATCTCAATGTCAGAATGAAGCCACCTTTAAGATTGCCATCATTTTAAAATTTCTAGATTTTTGAATACTTGTGTTATAGAGAAATTATCATTAACATACGCGAACTCGTTCACGAGTTACATATATAGGTACGGACATATCAGACAATGATATTCTTCGTGTTTATAATATAATCGAATCTCTAACAAAAACATTTGATTATTTAACAAAAAATGAAATGTCAAAAATAGCTTTATAGTAGCACTTTCGGTTAGAATTCATATTTCTACTTTTAGTAAACGGGATGAAAGACATGTTCTTACATATTAAATTTCATCAATTCACGTCAGTTATTTATGTACAAACATATGAAATCCACTCTGTGGGTTATATACGACACACTGATATAACATTTCTCAAAACCTTTTACACGACACGTGTGAAACTACAAACCGGTTTGATACATAATCATAGAACGGGAATTATTATAAACTAGCATAAAATATCCGCGTTCCGTTGCTGGGTTCTAAGATCCCCTCATGATTCACAGAGGACCAAATGTACTGATCAAGATTATATCCAATTATTTTATGGTTACCCCAAGGAAGGGAGTAGGTACCAAAAACAAATCCCAAAATCCCATTAGGACACCCGACCGTGGTAACTGAGTACGTGTTGCACGTTTCGTCCCACTAGCATGCGAGATACGAACACAGTTTCAAACATGACGCCCGTGATATCCCGAAGTTGCCAGGAACACGAAATCCAATGCAAGATCGGGATAAGTGACTTTGAATACCAACTCCTAGGCCATCATCATGCCTGGGTGACCTTTCGGGTGCGTTTTAGTCCCATTTGATAGTGGGGCTACTCCTTATAGATAAGGACTAAGGACACCTTCGAGCTACTCCGAGTCCGTCTACCACGTTTGGTCCTTCTAGTTCCAAAACTGTGGGAGGGGTTCGCGAACAAACAAACTCACAAACATACCATTAATACGGGGCAATACTTGAGAATAACGCTGCTTTGTAAATGTATGTTAGTTCTTCTATTCTATTATACGTAACTTACTTACAACTCACGGGAAGTTTCAATAGGAACCCTTCAAAAAAGGGAAAGAACTGGTTCAAATGATGGCTCTTCTGGTTTTGAAGTTTCCCCATTAGCTTCCGAACACAAACGATTTTAGTTGCTCATGAGGAAACCGTCAAAGAAAAGAGAATAACCAGTCAAGTTAACGGTTTAATGGCTATCTTGTATTTGAAGTTTCTACATTGGTTAGTGAAAAGCTGAAACGATTTTAGTTGTCCATGCGAAAACCCTCAGAGAAAATGAAAAGAATAAGTCAAAATTAATATTTGAAGTTTCTCCATTGAATGCTGAGCTCTGAAAAACAAATGACACAATTGTTACTGCTTATTACTTTTACACGAAATATTGAAACAAGCTCTTTGAACTGTTTAGAAGTTATTTTAGTTGTTCAAGAGAAAACCCTCGTAAAAAGTGAGTCCAAGTAACTGGTCCTGCTATATTCGAAGTTACTCTGTTGGTTACTGAATACTGAAGTGACTTTAGTTGCTGAAGAAGAAACCTCGTTAAAAAAAAGACAAATGAATGGAAATTCGTGGTATTCCTGTTCTTGAAGATCATCCAACTAGTTAATAAACACTATTTTAGTTTCTAAAGGGGGGGACCCTCAAAAAAATAATAATGAGTCCAAACGAATGAAGCTCTTCTTTTTGAAGTTTCTCCAATAGCTACTGAACTCTGAAAGCACGTGACTTGATTTTTATTGATTATTGCTTCTTCGTGAACTATTAAGACAACTCTATCTATTTAAAACGAACTTCCACGGATACTTAAACTTTTTAGCATATAAGCAATATATGTAATCACGACGGTTTTTTAAAAATCATTTTTGGATACTTGTGTAAGACAAATATAGCAAGATAAATAAAAACTGCAAAGATATGGTGACAAACGTTCTGAAACGTAATCATGTAATCAGTGTTCTAGCTAACTGCCCACCTTTTATCCTTTAGAACGGTTTTGACCATTTCTTGTGTTATATTGAATGTTTATGAGAAGATTCAGTTCGAGCTAGGAGTAAAATGAAAAACCTAATAAACCAGCTTAACAAAGTATATTGAATTATAAAAATGCCAAAGCACACTGTTAGTTCAGTGTAAACAAAATGTATGCCTATGATGTTTTACAGAGACGTGTAAGAATATGAAATAAATATATAGAATCATGTATTTAAGGAACATAATTAGATGTTCCAAACACAAGAAGCGAGTTAGTCCATACTAGAGAGAGAGAGAGTTAATCCTGCTGTAAAAGAACGATGTGTATATGTAAGCCATGACGCCACGGAAGATGTATTACATATTTGGTTCAAGACAAATTCCGGACTATTCGACAGTGCAGCACCGCCGCGAGAATTTACAGTTGAAGGATTACGTTACAGTTCCTTACGAAAAAAAAAAAGACTTTCTATAGCGAGATTATTAAACAAAGAGCAGAAGAACACAATGTTTCGAAAAAAGACGCCTTCAGTGTTTCCTAACGAGGTGAGAAAACTTACACAGCCAAGCGTCTGTGCAGCAATGAACTCTGAATCCACATTTCCAAGCAACTCCGGGGCTCTCATCATAAAACAGAAGACTATAGTTGCATAAGAAAAAACTTCGACCTATGAAGCTAAGACAAATAACAAGATAATAAATAAGAATTTCGAGTCGATAGAGGCTCACAAACTTCCAACTACATCTCGAAATCATTGGCTGTTTTCATGAATAAAACAGCCCCCCCCCAAAAAAAACACGAAATAACAGCAATTACATTGAACTACATACCTCTCATAACTCCCCATGAGATTCCAGTGGACTTTTGTGCCTTTGAGCAATTAAAATGTGGTCTTGGAAGCTGACGACCACGTTAAGTGGAGGATACATGAAACGTTTGTCAAAATGTATTCTTTAAGATTGACTTCGCAAGGACAGGACGTGACAGGGACATCGTTCTTATAAAGTGTGGTTAACCCTCGGTGCATCGAAACTTGTAACCAAATACAAGAGTTAGTTTATATTGAAACGTGTAACCAAATACAAGAGTTAGTTTATATCGAAACGTGTAACCAAACACAAGAGTTAGTTCAAATCGAAACATGTAACCAAACACAAGAGTTAATTCATATAGAAAGGTGTCACCAAACACAACAGTTAATTCATATCGAAAGGTGTAACCAAACACAACAGTTAATTCATATCGAAACGTGTAACCAAACACAAGAGTTACTTCATATCGAAACGTGTAACCAAACACAAGAGTTACTTCATATCGAAACGTGTAATCAAATACAAGAGTTACTTCATATCGAAACGTGTAATCAAATACAAGAGTTACTTCATATCGAAAGTGTAATCAAATACAAGAGTTACTTCATATCGAAAGGTGTAACCAAACACAAGAGTTACTTCATATCGAAAGGTGTAACCAAACACAAGAGTTACTTCATATCGAAAGGTGTAACCAAACACAAGAGTTACTTCATATCGAAACGTGTAACCAAACACAAGAGTTAGTTCAAATCGAAACATGTAACCAAACACAACAGTTAATTCATATCGAAAGGTGTAGCCAAACACAACAGTTAATTCCTATCGAAAGGTGTAATCAAACACAAG